CAGAGGGACCCGAGGGGCTCATGTGCACGAAGATCGTAGGACTTTAGCCAGAGTGGTGGGCAAGGAACATGGGATCTATAAGCAGAGGCAGACAGTACAAAAACAGGGAACTGCCAAGGGAGGGCAGCAATAGCAAAAGATGATAAAATGATTTAGAAAGAAAATTGGATGGGCACTCGAGCAGAAGTGAACCCACAGAACTACAGGGATGGAGGCCAGGGAATAAGACTGGAATAGATTGTACACACTCAGTCAAATGACCTCCTTCTGTGCCACATGGCACATTCCACCAAGGAAATACAGCCCTAATCTATACTGTAGTTCAAGGGATCCAGGTGAATGAATTATGATGGAAACTAGCTCAGCTACTCACGACAAAATCTGGCTGGACCATGCAAAGTTCTATTGGGTCCAGCTATCTTCTATCAAAACTGTTCACTCTTTCAGCATCATCCTGGAATTAAAAAAAAACTAACCTCCAGTTCCTTTTCTGTATTGCAAACTTCTCTACCTATTACCTGCAACTTCACCCCCTACAAGCATAAGATGTTAACATTCTTCATCAAGATCAATAAGCTTCACACAGTCAGGATGGAGAGATCCCAGTCCAGAGTACGACACAGCCAAGTGAGAATATAGGCTGGGGAATTTGGAAGCAACATGGAAATTCAGTGTGTGTGTGTGGGGTGGGGGAAGAGGCACTTTTTGCTTCTAGCTTGTCATTTTATTTTTTTACCAACAGGATAAATTTAAGCCCATGATCATAATCAAAGTTCCTGCATAAAAGAGTGACATTACAGATAAACTAAGTTCATTGGTTGGTGATAGCTACTAAACTGACCATCTACAATAGGTTACTTCCAGATTGAAGGTAAATAGGGGAAATATTTACAAGTTGCAAACTGAAAAGTATGAAAGTTCTTAATTTGATTTGCAAAAATAAGTAAAATAGAGATGCCAGCCAAGGTGATGTGTTGTACTAAATGATACGGGAGCTGGTGGACCCCATTGTGGCTCATAGTGACCACATTTGTACCAAGTAGTTCCTTGAGGAACTCTGGAGTCTAAGCTTTGAACACTGTGACACATCAGGGAGGGGCAGAGTTACCTGGACCAGGAGACAGTCACAGCTATAAGATTAACTACCTCAAATTATGTCAGTGGTCAGATACAGGAGCGTACAATTACAAACAAGGCAGGTACAGGGATCCAAGAGATGGTGCTGAAGGAGCCTAAATGTTTGAGATTCTTGCTCCCTGTGTAGATGAGAGTGGTGGCTGTAGGGAGGATTAGTAAATTGACTAGAGCCATTCAACAGGAAGGGAAAAAAGAGAAATGTAGTCGTAATCAAGGGTAGTATAGATTGGGGAACAGACACGAATCTGCATTGGGAGAGTTGAGGAACCAAAAAAGGACAAAAAGACTGATAGGAGTTGTGTACAAGCCTCCTAGCAGCAATCAGGATGTGGAGAAGTAAGTAAGTCAGGACACAGAAAACTTACACAAGAAAGGGACTATTACAACAATCATAGGGGACTTCTATATACAGATGGAATTGAGAAATCAGCTTAGTAGCAGATCTCAAGAAAAGGAATTTGTGGAATGTCTACAAGAATTTTTTTGAAGCAGCTTATGGTAGAGTGCGCTAGCAAACAGGTAACTCTGGATTTGGTGAATTAGGGAATTTGAAGTGAAGGAACCTCTAAGGGACAGTGATTGTAAATATGATAGAATTCACCTTGCAGTTTGAGGGGGAGAAGCCAGAATCAAACATAACAGTATTACAACCGGAGTAAAGGTAACTACAAACACATGAGGGAGTAGCTGGCCAGAATTATTTGGGACAGGAGACTGGCAGGGAGGACGGTGGAGCAGCAATGGCTGGATTTGCAGAAGTAATTTGGGAGGCATAGCACATACATTAACGATCTGGAGGAAGGAACTGAGGGCATCATTGCTAAGTTTGCAGATGACACAAAGACAGTGAAGGGACAGATAGTGTTGAGGAAGGGGAGGCTACAGAAGGACTTAGACTGGTTGGAGAGTGGGCAAAACAGTTGCAGATGGAATGCAATCTTGGAGACAGTGAGGTTATACACTTGGGCGGGAAAATTGAGGCAGTCTATTTTCTAAATGGGGATAGGCTTCAGAAATCTGAAGCACAAAGGGATTTGGGAGTCCTAGTTCAGGATTCTCTTAAGGTTAACATGCAGGTTCAGTTAGCAGTTAGGAAGGTAAATGCAATGCTAGCATTCATTTCAAGAGTGTTAAAATACGAGAAGAAATGTACTGCAGAGGCTGTATCAGGTTCTCGGGAGACCACATGTGGAATACTGAGAGCAGTTTGGGCCCCATATTGAAGGGGGATAGATCTAAATGTTGCATACCCTAACTGCAATCTTGCACCTTCCCCTAGTTTCTTTCACCATGTCCTCTGATGCCTTGTTCAATCTCTTGTCCAATTAGGTCCACTTTTTGCTCCCTTAATTTTTTTTTAAATAAGCTGCAAAACTACCCGAATACTTTGGTGGTTATATCTGAACCAATGTTACGAATGGTGTTCTGACGAGGGATACTATTGCATTCAAAACAGTAACTCTGTTCTGTCTCCACAGAAGCTGCCAGACCTGCTGTGTTTCTCCAGAATTCTGTTTCAGATTTCCAGCACTTTCTCTTATTTGCTTTTATTATGAATGGCATATTCACGACAGGTATTAGACCCCACTTCCCATCTACCAGCATACTTCTCTCCTCCAAAAATAAACCCAAGCTTGGCCCCTCTGTCCTTCAAAAACTGTCCCATTTCTAATCTCAGTTTTCTCTCCAAAGTCCCAGAAGACATTATTGCTTCCCCGATGTACGCTCATCTTTCAAGAAACTCCATGTTGGAATCTCCCCAGTCAGATGTTTATCCTGTCTAAAGTAATAATCTGTGTGCCAAAGTTATAAATTACATCTTTATGACTATGACAATGACATAGCTCCATGTTGCTGGCCATGTCTTCAGCTGCAAAAGGTCCCAAACACAAATTTCCTCTACCTCCCTACACTTTCCTTCTTTTAAACATTCCTTAAACCCTAGTTTTTTTGACCAGGTCTTAGTCATCTGTCCTAATACCTCATATGGCTCAATGCCATTTTGCTTTATAATCCTCATTTGAAGACTTTCATCACAGAAATAAAGGTTACTGGAGTCAGCTGTACAGTATGGAAACAGACCCTTTGGTCCAACTCATCCATGCCAAACATATCCTAAATTAATCTAGTCCCATTTGCGAGCATTTAGCCCATATCCCTCTAAACCCTTCCTATTCATGTACCCATCCAGGTGCTTTTTAAATGTTGTAAATGTACCAGCCTCCACCACTTCCTCTGGCAGCTCATTCTATACACGCACCATTCTCTGCAAGGAAAAGTTGCCCCTTAGATCCTTTTAAGTCTTCCCCCACGCCCCCACTTAAACCTGTGCTCTCTAGTTCTGGACTCCCCAACTCTGGGGAAAAGACCTTGGCTATTCACCCTATCCACAGCCCTCATGATTTTATGAACCTGTACAAGGTCATCTCTAAGCCTCCGACCTTCAGGCAAAACATCCCCAGCCTATTCGGCCTCTCCCTGAAACACTCCAACCCTGGCAACATCCCTGTAAATCTTTTCTGAACCCTTTCAAGTTTCACAACATCTGCCCTGGAGCAGGGAGACCAGGACTGAATGCAGTCTTCTAAAATAAGATAACAGTGTGGAGCTGGAAGAACACTGCAGGCCAGGCAGCAGAGGAGCAGGAAAGCTGATGTTTCAGGTCGGGACCCTTCTTCAAGTGCCCTAACCAATGTCCTGCAGTTAATATGCATTCATTGCTGTGATAATGTTGGCAAACAAGGAACAAACAGTCAATAAATTGTCTTCTTGTACAGCACATGTATAGATTCAGATATCAGCTTAATTGATCAATTTACCTTCATAGATATCCATGATGTACACTCAGATTTCCAAAGTTACTTCATTACACTCTACTGTTGCAAAAGGCATTAATGTCTGAAAGGGTTAATGCTGAGGAATGCATTAAGCACCACCCAATATATGATTATATAGACCTGAGTAGGAGAACAGCTCTGGATCTCAAAGATAAACCTGCCATGTTCAATCTCTCTCATGGTCATTGTTACTGATACTATCATACCAATAACATGACTAATTATTAATCACACAATAAACTACATGTTGTTTAAGTCAAAAACGTCTGCTCAGCAGACTGCCAAGCGGTTTTCCTCTACCACACTAGACCAGTTGCACACTAGTCCCAACCCAAGAGGAGGATGGTGGCAGCAAATCTATCTGACACATCTTTCAAGGTAATGGTGGTCAGGACCCATCACACTACTACCCAAACACTTACAGAACTCCACAGACTGTGGATGTGCACAAGAGGTTTTGAATAATCAATGTACAACAACCTTGGTTTTAACCAGCACCTTATGAAACTGAATGCTCGATAAAGCGGCAAAAATCATATACCTCAAATACTGGAAGTTTACTGCGTTTTTGTAATCTCCACGAAGTCCGAGCAATCAGCAAAGGATGCGAGTGAGGAAGCTCTCTGCTGATAATTTTTATTTAAGACAAACTTCCACTATTATTTAAGGGATCAACACTGTAAATAATGTATAACAGTGATGTGAATACCCTGTGCTTTGTGCTTCTATTACTTACCGTGTGTGTTTTTACATCAATTACATGGACCTCTTGATCAACCAGCACACCTTCCTGGTCCCATAGGTGCCAATTAATTAAAAGTTTGCTGTAGTACTTTTCTTTTTGAAAAAGAGCATGAATTTGCATAATTAAAGGCCAGTTAGCCTGATCTCTCTCGTAGGAGAGCTTTAGAGTTTTCAATTAATGCAAATTGTGAGAGAAAAAATGGCTAAAATAACATCACTAGGCACATTAACACACTCACAATTTCAACTTCAAATGGTAAGTCTTTCAAATTTCTTACTCACATTTTCTGTTGTACCAGTAACAACATGTAATCCATCATAGGTTGATTTAATATACATTCCCTAGGAAAAAGGATAAACATTTATCTGTTAGAAAGAATAAAACAGGGCAATGTCATTTCAGCACAATTACCCCATTTACAAGGCACACTGATGTGATTCTGAAATGCTGTCTTCACATTTGGAATTTAATACTATGTTCCAAGAAACATTGAGGATTTAAATTTCAACTGTAAAATTCTCAAACAGATATCTCTCTCTACTAGGGAACAGACAAAACATAACTGCTGATAGATAGATAGAGTCATAGAGTAATACAGCATGGAAACAGGTCCATGCTGCCCACTCAGCTAGTTCCAATTGCTTGCATTTGGTCCATATCCCTCTAAACTCTTCTCATACACATACTTATCCAAATGCTTCTTAAAATGTTGCTGTTGTACCTGCCTCAACCACTTTCTCCTGCTGCCCATTCCATATATGCACCACTCTCTGCGTGAAGAAGTTGCCCCTCAGGTCTTCCTTAAACCTATTCCTGCTCACCTTAAACCAATACCCTCTAGTTTTCAATTCCCCATCAATAGGAAAAAGACTGTATGCATTCAACTATCTGTGCCCCTCATGATTTTATATACCTCAATAAAGGCCACCCCTTATTCTCCTACGTTCCAAGGAATAAAGTCCTATCCTGGCGAACCTCTCCCTATAACTCAAACCTACTGGTCCTGGCAACATCCTCATACATCTTCTTTGCACACTTTCCATCTTAACTATGTCTTTCCTATAACAGGGTGACCAAAACTGTACACAATACTTAAGTGCGGTCTCACCAATGATTTATGCAATGGTAACGTAACATCCCAACTCCTATACTCATTGCCTTGACCAACGAAGGCCAGCATGCTAAATGCCTTCTTCACTACCCTGTCCACCTGTGACACCGCTTTCAATGAAGTATGTACTTGTACTCCTAGGTCCCTCTGTTCCACAACATTCCTCAAGACCTTGCCGTTTGGCAAGGTGGACTGAAATAAATAAATAAATAAATAAATAAATAAATAAATAACTTGTGTAAATACTGAAAGTCCTACTATCTGCAGTAATATGGACATTTAGATGCACCAAATTATACCTAGATTTAGTATTCAAAATATTACAATCCTGGAGCTACAACAGTGCCACGACTTGTACTCTCATCAAGGCACACATGCAGTAAGTTGCCCCAGCACAGCTCAGTTATGCAGCAAACAGAAGGGAATAAGGGTTCATCATTGTACTTTGTCAGATGCCAAATCTCTACTACCTAGGCAAAATTCAGTTATAAATGCTCAGTGATGCTCCATTTGGGTTCCAACTATACTATTTACATCTATTTTGGGTCTTTATTTTTAAAGTATCCAGAACTAAATTGCATTTAACACGAACATGTGGACAAAATTTGAAATACCTAGCTTTCTAAAGCTGTGTCTGGCATAAAATGTTCAGATTCTAAATTGAAATTTTGAGTACAGGAACCATCCCGAGTGGCCTTCCCATTTCTGAAATAAAACAGTCATTTACAATAGTCTCCCGGTCTGCGCATTTGGATCTTTTTTGAGCCTAAGTAGTCAGCATAAGTGTTCTACAAAGCGGTAATCTAGTCTGTGTTAAGTCTCCTCAGTGTAGAGGAGACCCATTGTGAGCGGCAAATACAGGAGACTAGATTGAGTGAAGTGTGGGTAAATTGTTGCCTCACCTGGAAGATGTGCCTGGGACATTATATGGTGAGGAGGTAAATGGGCAAGTGTTTCACCTTCTGCAATTGCATAGGAAGGTACCATGGGAGTGTGGGGAGGTGTGAGAGGGGAGGAGAAGTGGACCAGAGAGTGTCTAACAGTAACAGTCCCTGCAGAATGCGATCTCCCGTACATTTGGGAGGCAAAATGCAGACTGGTTACTGCTTTGGGGAACACCTATGTTCTGTCTGTGGCAAAGAAAAGGGTTCCAACCCAAAATATCAACTTTTCTGCTCCTCTGATGCTGCCTGGCCTGCTTTGTTCCTCCAGCTCCACACTGTTTCCTCAAACCTCTAGTTGCCTGTTGCTGCAATACACCACCATGTTCCCTGACCATCATTTCTGATGCAAGCCTGCTGCAGTGCTCCAGCAAAGCTCAATGCAAGCTGGAGGAGCACCACTTCATTTTCCACTTGGGTACTTTAGAGTTTTCAGGACTCCAACATCAAGTTTGACAGTTTCAGAGCATGACCATTCCACTCCTTTGTCTATTACCTATCCCCACAAACCCAGGTCCTCATAAAATATGCTGCTTTCATTGTTGTCATTAACACTTAGTGTTAACTTGTCTTCTTCCCAGGCCAATTATCAACAATCTCTTTGTCTGCCTATCATTTTCTCTCTCTCTGGGCTCCCTCTCCACTTATCTGCTCACTCCTTTAGCCCTTCACCTTACATCATCAGCATAAAGATCACCTTTTCTTCGCGGATTCTAGTTAAGGTGGTTCACAAGGCTCAAAACGTTAACTTTGCTTTCTCTCTGCCGATTCTACCAGATCTGCTGAATCTCTACTGCAATTTCTGTTTTTGTTTGCTTTTGACCAATATCTCTGCCAAATGTAGTATAGAAATTCTTTTGTTCTGTAACAGTTTGTCTATTTACTTCAAAACAAAGACCATTAACATCAAGTATTTTAGTTGCATTTTCATATACAACGTCAAAGCGTGGTTTAAATATTTTTTAAAACAAAAATCAGCCCAAAATTGATTTATAGAACAAAATTCCAAAACAAACACTAGCAGAGCCTGAACTCTAAGCTCAACTGACACTTCATGCTAAGGTAAGCATGATTTATTTCCTTTCCCTGATCAAAAGGTAAATATCCATAGGTTTCACAAGTCCTAAAAAACAGAAATGGAAAATTGTCAAAATACCAGCATCATCTGAGAGAAAGAAATACAACTAAAATTTTCAGACCAAATGTAAATATTTTTCAAAACAGTTTTCTAATCTGGCTTTGGTCTCCTCATTGTGAGTTCTCATTGTGAATAGTGCATCAACTTGAAAGTATATTAAAATCACTGTTCCACTTTGAAGAATTGTTCCTCTCTGTACAGATGCTGTCAGACTTGAACATTTCCAGCATTTTGTTTTAATTCCAAATTTCTTGTATCCACAATTATTTTGATTTTGTTTCAGTATGTTCCATCTTATGAAAAGTAATGATAATGAGCAGACTGTTTCAGATAAAATAAACTATTCAACTGCTGAAGAAATTTCCTTAAAAGATGCTCTTTAAATGAGCAATCTTTAGGATTCGTAGCAGGCTGTAGGTCATATGGTGAAGATATTTGAATAGGGTGCTCAATGTTTTGGGCCCATGTTTCAGGACTTGGGAGGGCAACTGAATTATGATTCCTCAACAACTATTAGTGGGAGACTCAAATACTACTGAATACCAACGGGAGGCAAGTATGTTGTCTCTTGTTGAAGACCACTGCCTAACACCTGTGTTACACCAATGTTATGTGGCTTCAATGTCATTTGGCACTTTTCACTGGATGTTGCTAGGTCTGCACAGGTAAACATTGATTGATTAAATAACTGCACAACTGCAAGTAGTGCTACTCAACACAAACAACAGACAGCCCCACCTCTGACATTATAAATATTTTTCATCAAAAAGCTTGGACATGTTACGACACACCTCCGTAAGCAGATGAGACCCAAACCTCCTGGGCCAGAGGCAGGGACATTTCCACTGCATCACAAGACCCATACCTCTGAAATTACATTGCAGAGAAGTTGTGGGTTGAACAGCTAAAGGTATATTCTCCAACATGCACACTTTCCTTTTGTGCTACTTGGTAACATTGCAGATGACTGGACAGCACATATCCTGGACAATTTTGCACATTGTTGAGCAAAACCCAACATCTGTTTTGAAACAGTTTAGCATAGAGCATAGCTACTTCTGCAGCACAGATCTTCGTGGGCTATAAGTCGGGGTCTGCAGCCTTGGAGCCCAGGTACTAATCAGCTCCTTGATGTCACGTGCAACCAATCCAATTGGCTGAAAAACGATAAAAACCCGAAAGAACTAAGGATGCTGTAAATCAGGAACAATACCAGAAGTTGCTGGTAAAGCTCAGCAGGTCTAGCAGCGTCTGTGGACAAAAACAGAGTTAACATTTTGGGTCCAGTGACCCTTCCTCAGAGCTTTTCCAACCATTTCTGTTTTTGTGGCTGAAAACTGATATTTGTTATGTATGCAAGGACTAGAGATGGTGGCAAATAAGGATCAACCATTCAGCATTTCTGGCTGAAAATTCATGCAAACACTTGAAGATGAACTTCAAAAGCATCATATTTCACAGATGACTGTGGAATCTCTGCCTCCCATAAGTTAAATAATTGTCCACCAACATTCACAAGTGGATGTGACAGGGCTCAGGGCTGGGGTCCTGATCTGATCTGATCCTCAATTGTTTAACCATTTGTAGCATGCTGCTTATTCTCTTGTGTAGTCCTTTTGTTACATAGTAACTTCATTTTTAGGTGCATCTGGGTGACGATCAGAGTGTGGCTCTACAATCCTTTAGATCAGGCTGGTCATCAGTTTTAATTGCCATGACAGGCCACGAGGTAATATATTGCGATGGTATGAATTGCTTAGCATCAAGGCCCACAGGTTTTCACAGTTGCCCAATCTATTCAGCCTTAATCTATCCCAGTTAACATGACAATACTGGAAAATAGCAAATCAACGTATATCATGAAGACTGTCAGTGTCGAGGCATTGGGGTGTGGGTGTATATGCATTGTTAGTTGGTTACACAGCTAACATCTGCACGGAATTCTCTACTTATAGTGTAAATCTAATGTTTGCTATTTCCCAGGTATTTTCAGGACCTGCCTCCCCAACCCAATAAAAATATCATGGCATTTTGTCTTGGTTCAGTGAATAATTGCCAAGGACCTGCCTTTGGGTCAAGAACTCAAAGGCATAAATACAGGAATTAGTCTGCATGAGCAATGTTTTGTGGACATTTCTACCAACGTCATTGTTGCTGCATCTGTGACAATTAGATTGGACAGCTTAAAGTCATTTCCACTTAGTGGTTCTCTCATTACTCTTTGCCCACCCAGTATAGTATCAATGTTTGCCTGGACTCAAGCAGCTAAGCCAGTCATAGTACTGGTGATACGCCTTTATTAATATAAATTGAAGGCCCCACAACCAATGTCCTTTCTCTCCTCTTACTATCCTCAAGAATCCACTGTTTCAACAGTGTTCAACAGGACTAATATTGATTCATCCACTTGATGGAGCAAGTTGGACAGTCAACAGCATGTTTTTCCAGGTTTCATGGGGCCTGGAGTCAATGCAGAGAATACTATTCCCCTTCTTTCAGCTCTAAATCCCTGTGCAAACTGACTCAGTCTGTTTACCAATTCTAACCAATATGTGGATGGCACAATTCCTTCTGTTAAGTATGCAAAATTCATTTAAATGTACTTGTAAATGGACTCTCACCACAAAACTTGAGAATATTCCATCCATACATATCTGTAAGAGTGTTCAATGAACACAAAGATCTCCCAGTTCAAGTGCATGCCTTTCAAAAACCAGGTACAGTTTACATAATCAGATTTTAAATCTCCCAAGGAAATAAAGAATCCAAGACAATGCATCTATAAATTTCCACAAAATTCCAGGATATCAATCTAACACAACAATCTCCATTCTTTGGCCCATGACTAAATGCATTCTACACAATGTATTTTCTACCTATTGTTTCACCTATGCATGAATCATTGACCTCTGAAGACCTGATAAGATATGTGCAAATGACAAGTTATTAACATGCAATCCTCTTTCCATGTTTGTCAAGAAAGGAGGGAAACAAAGTGGAATAAGAACAAAGTTGCTGGAAAGGCTGAGATCTGGCAGCATCTGTGAAGAAAAAAAAATCAAAGTTAACATTTCGGGACCTGTGACCCTTCATCAGAACTCACTGGACCCGAAATGTTAACTCTGATTTTTTTTCTTCACAGATGCTGCCAGACCTGCTGAGCTTCCCCAGCAACTTTGTTTTTGTTCCTGATTTACAGCATCCACAGTTCTTTCGGTTTTTAAACAAAAAGTGAAATGTTAACCCTCTCCTTAACTTTCAGTTCATAAAGGGAATACCGGATTTAATTTTATGTTCCTTCCTTAAGGCAACTTTTATTCCACGCTACCATCAGTTTCAATTGTCAGGTCCCAGAAAGCTAAACTGTTCTTGTGTACAGTGAATTTGAACATATAGCTCACTTTGCCAATTGCTAACATTGACCAAAACATGAATATTTTCTCTCAACTTCCCAAACTCAGCTCGCCTTAATGAGTACTCCAAAAACAAAACTTGTGGTTACATTACCAAAATTCCTTCCTTGTAGAAGTCACTAACCCAATTCCCATCAAAAAGAATGGAACAGTGCAGATTCCTGAAATTCTTTCAGTCTATGATGCTGTAATCCCAGATGGCTACGACCTGGATATTTCCCAAATACTTTCATACTGAGTGTATGCTGACCCCTAGCACAGCTGTTAAACATCTTTCACACTCAAGTCAGCAGGGAAAGGCAGAATCACTACTTAGTACTAACCTCCAATTCAAGTAGAGCTTCTGACAGTGCTGAAAATCAGATTTCTCAAGTCAACATACAAACATTGCAAAAATGAAAATTGTACAGTTTACAGTAGAATCATCTCTCTCATCCAACAATGCCCAAGGTTCATTGAGTTCAACTTTTACTATGCTGGCAATCAAATAATAGTGACACTAGGACTGCTGATTAATGGTTGTAATCAATTATTTAGTCTGTACCACACCTAGAAGTCACGAAGAAAACTACACTAGTGGATAGCTTTAAAAATCATAGGTCTCAACCACCATTTCCCTCCCAAATATTGTATACACACCATGTTGTTTACTTTCCCGTAGTATGTTCAGCCAGCTTCAAGAACATCTGCCACCAATAACTGATCTACCAAGCATTATGTATCCACTGCTGTCATATGCGTCAAGTCACAAACTAAATTATAATTAAGATTTCAAAGCCATGGGGAATTTTTTCTTTTTTTTTTAAAACTTAATGCTAGCAGCTTTCCTGAAGTATTATTGATCAACAAAGCACGTTGTTGCACTCCGTTGAAGCCAAGGCGTACAATGGGAGAATGTGTGGAACCCACTGCTGAAGCTTGGCAAAAGCAGATGTTGAATTGCAATCGGATAGTGTGTTGGGCATAATGGGCAATTCTTAAATTAACCCACAAATGAGGCATACAAAGAAGTAGGACATCATGTCTTAAAACCAAAATTAGAGAGTCTTGAGGATGCTCAGGCAATTATAGTCAAACCGAGTCAAATAGAATTGCAGGCCACTTTTGAAATTCTTCCTACACTTCAAGACAGAACATTTAGAAGTGTTCTCATCCCATGTAACCAAGTAGGAGCAGCAAAAACAGCTAGAAACAGAACTGTTTTTCCTGCAATGTAAGTGAATAGAAATGCAGCGAAATAGTATTGAAGGTGATTTTTGTGTGACATGAAAACTAAATAGCTAAACAAAAACAACCAATTAGGAAGGAAAAACAAGTCACCACCATTACATGGATAAGAACCAAGAAACTGCATATAAAATATTAAATCCATTTCTTACCAGTCCTTCATTTGGTTTGATGTTTATCAACTGAACCTCCTCTAGACAAGCACTCTGGCTTAACAAAGGATCAGATGCAGATCT